AAAGACTGACGCTTCCGAATCAGAACTTAACTCTCTGCATCTGGTCGGGAGCTACCATAACATCTGACTCAAGAGCACATTTTCGTCAGATCTCGGATCCATAGTAACCGTAGCCTAAGAAGGATTTATAAAACTTCAAAAAAGTAAAAACATTACGCCAAGTACATGAAACAGTGGAGTACTCAAGGAGTTACCATTGAAAAATAGAAGATCCTCATAAAAAACTACAAGAAAATAGAAAAAGATGTGAAATCGAAATAAGCTGTCAAATGATTTGCCTAGATTTCCGCGGCCTGGAAGTCAAATGGTTGACGTAGCCAGGCAAGGCATTATAGATCATCAATACCCATACTTTCTCTTTTACAGACTTTCAGATAATTTGTCAATTTAAAACTCTGACAATATGAGTACACTTTCATCATTTTGCATTTTAAAATAATTCTTATTCATCGACACCTTGGCCTTGCCTGGCCACGCCAAGCATTTGACTTCCAGGCTGCGGAAATCTAGGCAAATCATCTGGAGCTTATTTCGATTTCACATCTTTTTCTATTTTCTTGTAGTTTTTTATGGGGATCTTCTATTTTTCAATGGTAACTCCTTGAGTCCTCCACTGTTTCATGTACTTGGCGTAATTTTTTTACTTTTTTGAAGTTCTTTATCGAATTTCACTTCTTTTTACAAATAATTTATTATATAGAATTATATTATAGATATATTATAGATATCTATTATAGAGATATCTATATATTATAGATATCTCTGTAAACTCTACATAAGAAGTCTAAATTATTATTTGTTTGTTTAAGGGGTTATACGCAGTTAGAATTTTCAAAAAATCGATTCTTTTTTAAATTTTTTTCTCAATGTACATACATTCAAGAATGTACAACAAAAATTTCAAGTCGATCCGACAAATATTTTTGACGTGGCAGCCGAAATAGTAGCGAGCGAGCGGCAGCGGCCGAGCGACAGTGGCCGAGCGGCAACTGCCTCCCTGGAGTATCCCATCGGACGTCCCTTTTCGGATCTCTCTATTCTATTCTATGCGTTGTGAGACAGTGTAGTAGTGTTCTTTTTATACCTGAGCAAAATTTTAACGGTTTCTCTTCCCAAACTGACAAATATTGAAGAGTATGGTCAGTATATGCAGCGTAGCTGAGCAGTGAAGTCGTGCGTCCGTTTATACAAGCGGTGTAATTTCTTAGTGAAAATGAAGTGTAGCAGAGAAAAAAGATCATCTGCCAAGGTGCAGAAATCGAGACCGAAAAAGAGGAAAAACGTTTTTAATCCGAAAACTGTCGAGATGGGCGAAAGTAGTTTTAGTTCCTCTGCGAAAAAACTAAGAATACAAGATGAGATCAATGTTCCGCGTGATCCGACAGTTCAATACAGAATTTTTAATTTTATAACAGTGTTTGCAGTGATTTCGAAATATGTAAAATGTCAAACATGTAATGGAAAACTGAAATTCCAAACTGCATCTGAACGAGGACTCGGTTTTAAGGGTGTTGTACAATTAATTCTTGTCCGTTTATCGACCATTCTTATGCTATAAATAGACGATTTCTATTTGTTATGAGAGTACTCGGACTAGGATTGAAAGACGCGCAAAAATTCTGTGGATTGATGGATATGCCAGCCTTCATCACACAGAATACGTATGATTTAATAATAAGGAATATACACGCATGCGGAGAAACATTTCAAACAAGCGTGTAATGAAGAAAAAAATCTTATAGCTGAAAATCAAGGCGAAGTTCATTCGACACAATTAACTATATCTGGCGATGGTACGTGGAAAAAGCGAGGGTATAGTTCATTATACGGCGTGCCATCGCTAATTGGATACTATTCAGGAAAAATCGTAGATCTCATAATAAAAAGTTCATGGAGGAAGAAAATAAATACTGCAGAGTACAATGAATGGTATAGAGACCATAATGAAAATTGGTACGCAAATCATACAGGTTCTTCCGGAAAAATGGAAGTCGATGCAGTAATCGAAATGTTCCGACATTCAGTGGATAAATTTGGAGTAAAGTACAAAAACTACATTGGAGACGGTGATTCTAAAACATACTCAGGAATTTTGAATGCTGCACCGTACGACGACGAAGAAGTAAATAAGAAAGAATGCATTGAACATGTACAGAAAAGAATGGGCACGCGACTCCGGGAATGAGTAAAAAAACATGTCAAAACTGTAGAAAAAGAAGGAAAACAAAAACAAAAAAAAACTCTTGGTAGAAAAGGCAAACTTACCAGCAAAACCAGCTATATGGGTTACTTATTACCATTATTGCTCTACAAATGAAAACCCACAGCACGAAAAGTGCCCAACCGGACCGAAGTCATGGTGTTCTTGGCAGCGCGCAGCAGCTGCGAATGAGTTACCTTCATTGAAGCATAATTATCCAACATTTCCGGATGATGTCGCTCAAGCTCTGTATCCTATTTACAGTGATCTCAGCAATGAGAAATTATTAAAAAGATGCGTTAGTGGCTTCACGCAAAACAATAACGAAAGCTACAACCAGCTCATATGGAAGATAACACCAAAAATTGGCCCGAGTGGATAAAAAATAGTAGAAATGGCTGCATACATCGCTGCCGGAATGTTCAACGAAGGTACAGCATCATTGTTATACTATATGAGTGCAATTGGACTCTCCTTGGGGCACAATGCGCACTCATATGCTGAGAAAGAGGACGCCGAGCGAAGAGCGCAAGAGAGCACACGAGAAGGAAGAATGATCCGAAGACAACACCAAATTGATTTATTACCCCGGGTCCACACTGTGCGAACACTGGTTCGCGTACATCGTTCGTGAACATCGTAGCTAACCCTGTTATTCACCGGTTTTCGCCCTAGTGTGGACGGGAAATAGCAGAGTTCGCTAACAAATGACCCTCCTAATAGGCGTAAAGTCGTAAAAGTAACTGTGTTCGCGAACCAAATTCAGCCATCCACGAGGTGGTGGATCCGGCGAACACGTTCGGGAATAACATCGCCTTTTTTCTCGTTCTTGTCCCTTTTCGAACCCTCGGAGCTTGGGCATTGCTATTCTTCCAACTGTGGGCCTGGTCTTTCAGACCACCCGCAGGTAGGTACATACTCCAAAGGGATAATATGCGTGACCGAAGTTAACATTATTTTCTTATTACTCATCCAAGTTTGTATATTTTTTGTTGTATCTTGATGAAAGTATATGCAATATATTGGCGAGATTTTTCTGATAAAAATGGCACCAAACACGATGCAATTCAGACAACTTCAAGTTTCGTTTACAATATGCAATATTTTTATAATATTAATACTTGATTCCGTGAGCCAGTAACCGATTAGAAAGTCTGTTTGAAAATAGGAAACAGATTGTAAAATTATTGCCAGGAGATAATTAGGGTCTATGAAAAAACTAGGTAACTTTTGTAGCTACGTGAACCTGATATCCGACTTTTCAAAAATTTATTTTTTTAATGGAAAATAATAGCATTTCGTTTGTACTTGATTGTACCATCAATAGATTCATTTGTACCTTCATCAATTAATAAATAAAAAAAATAAAAAAAAAATCACCCAGCACCTGACATTGAGATTTTTGAAATCTGTTTTTTCCCTATTCTTTAGAATCGTTTGTACCCGTTTGTACCGCTTTTCATGTCGTTTGTACCTCAATAGTTTATGATTTATAAGCAATCGTTTATACGCGTAAGGGGAGAGTTTGTCACTCATCAATTCTGCGTATTTCTGAAGAACTCATTTTAAAATGGAAACGTAAGGGAATGAAACCGCATTGTTTTCAAAATTAAAGTTACAGGCACAGAGGAAGAACAGATTTTAAAAAAGTTTGAAAATTAGTTTACTCCTTTCTTACGCGTACAACAATTGGCTGTAAAATTTAAACTAGTGCAGTATAAACGAAATGAAAAACAGATCATCAAAATCTCAATGTCGGGTGCTGGGTGATTTTTTTTTTATTTTTTTTATTTATTAATTGATGAAGGTACAAACGAAACTATTGATGGTTCAATCAAGTAAAAACAAAATGCTATTATTTTCCATTAAAAAAATAAATTTTTGAAAAGTCGGGTATCAGGTTCACATAGCTAACTTTTTTAAGACGTGAAGCTGACAAGGGACGTAAAATGGTATTTTAAAAAATATTAATAGGCAAGCATACTGTCTTAAAAAAAAGTTCAACGAACATTTCTTGAAGAATAGTATGTGTAATATATATAGGCTGTAACAAAATCAAAAATATGGCAATTGTAATTGTAATGAAAGGATGCAATTTGCAAGTTCATCCAGGGCGCAAAAAGGGGGTTCGTACCGTTCTTGAAGATAATACGTGTTAATGTTGTAGGTTATTGTTAGGAAATAGGTAAAAATTATTATTGTTTCGGTGTTTCACGAAATGAATTGATGTCATGAATTGTTATAATTGCACTTATATATATTTAGTCATAAATACACATATCTACATATACATCCATCCATCCATACGTGCATACAATATATACATAAATACATAATTACGATATATATATACAACGCATATTTACTATAATGTTACACATACACACTCATCCACGCGCGCAAACACATGTAAACTCTCACTCACTCACTCACTCACTCACTCACTCACTCGCACGCACGCACGCACGCACGCACGCACGCACGCACGCACACACGCACACACACACACACACAATTTAGATATATCTCTCCTGAGATGGAATATGCCCATATGGGCTTACAAAATAATTGGCAAATTCGTGTGGAATATCTTGAATCATTCCTGATTGCCTCCGTGGAACGGACCGAAGTGGTGTGTACGATTCCTCGCAGGTATCGTTCCTCCAATTGCCCGGTATTAGATTTCCCGTTGCCGGATCAAAATTATCGAAAGTACCATGGCGGCGAATAAATTGTTTGCGCATTTGCGTTGCGCCTTAAAAAATTATGGAGGCAAATACACGCCAATATCACCGTTGTTGCTTTTTCTGGTTGGAACAACATTGGTCGCCGCAAAACACAGAAAACTGACGCCAGAATTCCGAACGCATTTTCGACAACTATTCTCACCCGCAAAATTCGATAATTAAATATCCTTTTAGCGGAACCTTTCAATTGATATCCACTGAAAGGCTTCAATATATGTTTATTTTGGGAAAAAGCATCCTACAAATACAAAAGGTACTTTTATGTTTCCTCCTGGTAATTCACGTAGTTCCGGGAGATTCAAACTATTATTTACAATTTTGTTATAAAGAAAAGTTTTTTTAAAAACCTCCTCCATCAGAAATCCTTCCCTAGCACCCAACATTTGAAAAAATAAAATTGTATTCTCCATCAACAGCGGCAAATAAAACTATACTAAATGTGCCCTTATAATTGTAAACTTTGCTGCCGCTATTCATAGGTGCTTGCAAAATAATATGTTTTCCGTCGATAGCACCGACGCAATGCGGAAAATTAGTTTTTTCTTAAAAACATGCTCAACGGCAAGCCACTCTTCTTGTGATGTTGGAAACTGAAAAAGAGAATGAAATTAAAAACTTTTTAAAGAAAAATAAAATGAGTCAAACTTTCTTTTCGAAAAAAATGAAGACGAACGTTGGAAGAGTAAGGAGAACATCAAAATAAGTAATATGAATTAAAATATATTTACCTTCACAACATCTTTTAGGGCATCGATGAGTGCTTCACATACATCCGGCACAATTAGTGATATGCATCATTTCGACACTCGAAACATATATGATAAGGATTGGAAAGAATCTCCGGTGGCTAAAAATCTTAAAGTAATCAATAGTCGATCGGTTATTGAAATACTTATAGCAATTTTTGCTCAAATTGAATTTGTCAAAAATTCAAAGTCACTTCGTGTCATTCGAGAAAAATTCCTAAATCCACTTCCATCTTCCATCTGTAATTGATCCAATAGGGGAGCTCCTGCACGTTCTTTGAAAATTGCTCGCATCCACCACCTACGTTGACGTTTTCTGCTTCCTTCACATACTATGGTAGCTGTAGCAGCACGGATAATCAATTCATCTTCGCTGCTGGACATTGTTTTTTTGTAAATTAACACTAACTACACTGATTATACTGTCACTGGAATGATCACTACTGCTTCATCGATTACTCTACCGTGCAAAGTGCAGACGACTACGGACCGGGACTAGCTTTGTCGAAGCGGATACCCAATTTCGCTCGGTTCAATCTACCCCACTCTAACCAAAAATATTGAGGGCGAAGCAAAATTTCATATACTGTTTATGAGAGGCAATTGTGTGTTTTTCAAAGAACGCTTCGAAAAATATCTGGTTGTCAGATGTTTAACCCCTTAACCTACAATGACGGGCATAGCCCGCGTACAATGATTGGGCAAAACGTAAATATTACGGGCATAGCCCGCGTACGATGATCGGGCCAGAAGTAAATATACAATTTCGGCCCATCATCTTCGAATCTAAATCGTAGGTTAAGGGGTTAAAGGGGCAATAAAGCAGCTCCGCCGCGGGTCGTGTCATCCGCAGGTAATGACATAGTGACTTCGGACCTGTGTACAACATACCGTTGTCTATCGCCGACTCACGGTATGAGTCGTAATGGTCGTAAACTGCGACCAATAGTTTATGTGTTTAAAAAGCACTTTCAATTAAACATGCAGATATTCTTTATAAATTAATTATTATTTACTATAATTGTAAGCACTGATATTTTTGTGTTGATATTAATCAGTTATAAACGGGTCAAGATTTAAAGATAGTGCATTAGTAAATTGTAGCATCTTCACATCAGGATCCATGCGGCTTAAATGACACAATTCTCCATGTCGTGTAAATAGTAAAATCGACTTGGCATAAAATGACCCCTAGAGTAACAGCACGACGCGTATAGCCTTTCCGACAATTCCAAAGGGCCAATTTTTATGAGCAGGTGTATCGACAAGACGATCACCAGAATTCAGACGCGTACAACAGACTGCCGTAGTACTGCCCTGCTCACTAAAACATCTGTTTTTAATTATCTATATTTATTTTGCCCGAAACTCATGAAGCAAGGGACAAATTTTATATGTTTACAAGCGGGCAGTTGCTTCCCTGCTATGACTGTACGGAATACAATTATAATCAAAGGAAAAACTTCTTTCTGTATACCTAGGATAAAGTGCGGTTAATGAGGCCTTACCTATTACGGCGCGATTGCATACCATAAAATATGGGTTCAGATTTAGATTTATAATATGGTTGACTACTTTTCAATTTTTGAGAAAACATCTGATAAAGTCATTACTTTAACTTTTATTAGCAGCTAACGAGGGGTCTCTGAAATCCTCAATTCATTATCCATTTTTGAAATCCTCAATTTTTGTATCTATTTTTGAAATCCTCAATTCCTGGATACAGAAGAGAGAGGAGAAAAACATTGGATTCCAAAAAATCTGGGAGCGGAGTCGATTCCATATACGGATCTGAATGGTTTGCATATACACATATGCAATTTTTACATGACATAAACAAGCCAAGAGCAACAAGGGAGACAACAGATATTGAGGTGGTAAGTGTTTCTTTGTATCATAATTGTCGAAATGATTCTAAAATTGTAATAAACGTTCGTCATGTTTCTTTGCAATTTTCTTAACTTATAACCAATATATAGACAGCAATACTGATCACAGGAAAAATTTAAAAATCTTTTCAGAGACGTGACAGTGAAAGTGAGGTTTCTCAAAATAATGAAACTCCTTAAATCCGTATGAATCACTGGAACAAGGAAAGGAAAGGAAAGTAACGGATAGGGCGGATATTGCATTTACAACAATGCAAGAATTAGTTAAACAAAAATTGGAGAAGAAGAGGTACGAGTATTCGATATTTGGGGACTTAATGGCGCTAGAAATACGAAAGCTGCCAACCGAGCACGAGCGAACTATCGTCAAATTTAAAATGCAGGAAATATTATTTCACACTGCCATGGGAGCATTTAGACAAACAGACAATATGTCTGTGTGTTTTGAACGTGGAGAAAGCTGCAGTTCTGGATAATAAATTAATTTGTAAGTGTATTTTCTTATTATTCTTTTTATTATTATCGTTATGCGTATTATGGATATATATATACACTAACGGACAAAATTAAAGGAATACTTTTTTAAAACGTCATATCTATGGGAGTTTTCAACTGATTTTGGGGAAACTTGACGAGGAGTAGTTTTGAAATGTCCTCTAAATGTGCGCAAAGTTGCCTTGGCGAGGGTTGATACGAAGGGGTTAATTCACTTCTCTAAAGGGGAGGGTGTAGAAAAACGCCTCTTTGGAAAAGACCAGGGGTGACGGGAGGGATTGAAAAATTCAAAAAAACCTTCGGGGCGACTCTCCTAGATGCCCTGTACAAAATGCACCCCTTGAAATCCCTCTCGGACAACACCCCCTCCCACAATCCCCCACCCCATCTAAAATCCACAATTTTTGGGACTACAGTCCCGAATTTAGGGTCAATGCATTCCCTGGAATCTACTGATCCATGAAATGCCAACGCCCACGCCGTGCGCCCCATAGGCACCCCTTGGAGGGATGGAACAGTTCGCCACTTTTCAACACCCTTCGTAAGAGAGCACTTCCACACCTCGAAGGGCAATGAAATTGACCATGTTTATTCTCGGTACGTTAAGGATCAATGTCATTTAAAGCTCGTTTCGAAAACTGCCCCTGGAGCTGAACAGGTTGGCCCAGAGTTAGGGATGGTCCACTCACAGGTGTAGGGGTTGGAACGATGTTTCGTTCCAAGGAACACATGTGATACGGTCCAAGGCATTGGAGTGACACAGTTTTGATGTCTTTTCCCCGCGTGAATAGCATTAAAATACGAAAATGTCGTTTTTTTTTTTGGAAAACCCACCCGCGAATTTAGGCCTGTGTACCAGTTGAACGAGTAACCCCACGTCAACGCCGTTCGTGGATTCGGATGCGCGAATGCTTTACTGACAGGTCCCCAAAAACTCGGATATTTTGAATCACGCTTTCATTGTCAAATCGGAGTAGATTTGAAAGAGTATTAAGTGGGCCGAACGGAGCCGGCATGCAGAAGTGGAGCGAGGGCCTGCAGCCGTACGTAGTTAGAACAGTTCAGCCCACGTTAAATTGGAGTCCGGACTGGTCTCCGCCATCCGAAGCCGCCATTTAGTTAAAAATTAATATTTTGCAAATCCCCACGATCAAACACGAGATAATACATTATACTAACGAGAAATATTTTTTTATTTCAGATAATACAGTCCCGAAATATCGTGCTCACCGCAAAACGTGTTTTTTTTGGAAGTGCTCCCGGTGATGAGCTGTAGCGGCTGTTAGAAACATTATTTTCATACCACAATACGTACCCGAAGTTTTAAATCAATACATTACAATGTTTCTCCAGGAAAAATTCTTAAAAAGTGGCCTTTTTCGGCCTTCTAACTGCGTATAACCCCTTAATTGAATAGAGTAAAATAAAGGAAGAGGGGATAACAAAAGCGAATATATATATGCCTTGCCTGGCCACGCCAAGCATTTGACTTCCAGACCACGGACATCTAGGCAAATGTCTAAACAGTCTCAGTTTGTGGTTGATACACTATTTAGCTTCTTCATTTCACCGCCAAAGTGCGGAGCAGTCAGTTTACATGAGTTGTGATTAGGGTCCGAACGTCTGCACTGTTGAACACAGCATTGTAGCTGCGGATAGTTGGAAAACACCGAATTTTTCATTGTGTTATACAGTGTTGCCTTTGCACTTTGCTGGAAAGCACCTTTATGTACTGGCAGCTCATTTCGATTTCACTTTTTTTTCTACTTTCTTGAATTATTTTAGGGGGATCATCTATTTTTCTATGATTACTCTTTAAGTCCTCCACTTTTTCATGTACTTGGCGTAATTTTTTTACTTTTTTGAAGTTTTTCATAGGGATCTCATTTCTTCTTACAAAGCTACTTTCGATAGTGAATGACTTCAAATAATAGAAAATGGGAGATCAGTTTGAATCCTTTAAGGTTTCATAAGTACGCGGAACGCATTGCAGGAAGTTTCATTGCAAAAAATTTATGAAAGAAAAAATGTAATCACTTTATCAGTAACATTAAAATGCAACAAGACTTTCTGTCATGTGTCATGGGTACTTTTGAGAAATTAAAGGATTAAGTTTGACCTTTCTTTTTCTATATTATTGTAATACAATAAATTATGTGTTACAAATAGTGGATCTCTGTTCATTTTCTAATTATTTAAATTTCTTGCAACAAAACTTCCTCCCATACATTGTGTGTACTTTTGAGAATTCTAAGAACTGAAACTGATATTGCAATACGATTAATTGTGCATTACAAATAGTGAATTTCTTTTTTCATTTCTCGCTTTATCTTTAACATTCGAATTTCTTGCAACAAGACTTTCTGCCACGCGTTTTGCGTACTTCTGAATTTTATTCTAATACAATAAATTATGCGTTACAAGTAGTTGATTTCTTTTTTTCATTTCTCACTTCATTTTTAACATTTAAATTTCTTGCAGTGGAACATCCTGCCATGCGTTCTGTATACTTTTGGAAACTTAAAGAACTG